TGCCTGGCAAAGTAGTAAGGCAACAAAAAAGAAGACCTTCAGCAAGATAGATGGACACAATGGCTGCATTGATGGGCTCAGACAAAAGAGCATTTGTGAGGATGGCACAGGAATGGGCAATGTCTTGTTTTGTTGTACTGTGGGCCACCATGAGTCAGAACTGACTCTATCACACCTAACAACAACAGTATACTTAAAAAAAACAACAAAACACTGCCAACCAGTTGATTCTTAGACATGGTGACCATGTGGCGAGAGCACAGCTCTCTGCAGAAGCAGACTGTCTCCTTTGTCAGGGGAAGGCCAACCCCTAACTCATCGTCACGGCTCTGGTAGGCGCAATTGTACCGCGATAATAAGTAAAGATTCTAGTAAAGTCATAGAGAGCATGAGAGATAGAAGAGAGACTGAAATAATGGAGTCACACATTTCATGGTAGCAATGCTCACTTCAGCCTCACTTGGTGGTCCACGTGGAGAGAGAGAGATTTATTGTTAACCTAGGCTTTTATATTCTCTGGGGGCCTGCAAGCCTCCTAATTACAGTTGAAGACATAGGTCACAGGAAAGGGTTGTGCTATAGATAATGCAGTAATGGGAGGGGGATTGTCTAGGGGTATACACAATAGGAAGAGGAGGGATTGGGGGTACACATGTGACAAGATGGGCAGATCCTAGATTCAGGGTGGCAGCCTAACTTTGGATGTCACTGAGCCGGTTTGACCTGTTCTCTGGCCCACTATACCAGTAGGGTGTAAACCATCTACAGAGACCAAACCAATGACTGCAAGCCTTTAGGGAGAAGTAGCCCATTGTCCTTAACAGCACAGAGTAGGCCCTACCCGTGGTGGGCCCAGACAGTAGTCTGGCAACTGACTGCCTTCAGGGAGGATACTTGACAGTCATTTACCATTAGCTGCAAGCAGTGTCCTAAGTCTTAGCATATATTTGGGGGAGATTGGGGGGAGATGACTTGGGAGAGATCTTTCTGTTTCCCACACTCCTTGGAGCAGCCGATGGGTTTGAACTGTCAGCCAGCGCTTACCCTACTGTATCCCTAAGGTTCCCATCTGGGAAGGTAACAGTGATAGTTAGCATTGATATGCTCATTGTATTGGTGAATGCATTGGTGTACTGGGAGTTTCAGCTGCTTGCCCAGACTTCTCCGCAGAGAACTGTTGGGTCTGGGGCTTGAACGCAGGTTTGCGAACAGCATCTCCTTTGCTCTAAGTAACGGGTTCACTCTTTAGTGTAGGGAGTTGAAATTACACATTGGAGTGATGAGTTGGCTAGATCTTGACGAATAAGATTATGAGTAAAAATAAAGGGAAGGAGGGCATTCTAGATAAGTGGAATGGCATGAATAAAAGCCTGGGGGTAAGCTTTTCAAGATATGTTAGGAGAAGAATATTATGTAAACCAGTCTACTTAGGATATAGAGAAAATGCTAAAATTTTCATAGAATATTTGAAGCAGGAAGATAATGTATGAAGATATGTTTTTAAAAGAGTCTGTGTTAGATGGACTAGAGAAATAAATTCATAGACATTCATGTATGTATAAGAGTTTTCTATAAAAGATTGATTGTACATTAAGAAAACCTCCCATCCCAGTCCAGATCAAGTCCATAAGTCCTATATTAGCCCATATGTCCGATAACAGTCTGTAAATTCCTCTTCAGACTCATGCAACACATGCAATGATGCCAAATGCAGGAAGATCACAGGCCAGTGGGTGGGAAATCTTGTGGATACAGTGGCGATGGAAGCACCTCAGTGCTGGTCTGGGTCTCCACGTGGCTCCACCAGCTCTGAGGCTCTGGCTGCCATTAGCATAGCTTCATGTGGCTTGTCAACAGGAATGTCTCGCAGGGAGAGAGTGTGTCTTTGGCCTCCACTGAGCTATTAGCTCCTTCGTGCTTCTAAATGAGGTCATCAAGCTGCAACCTGATTGACAGAGTAGACCCCACCCCTTTGCAGGTTGACAGAGATTATATAACTGCCACAGACTCATTTGAAGAAAACTTAATAAATAGCATTTATACTCTGATTTAAAAAATAAAGATGCCTCAGAAATGTCCCTTTTCTGTCAGAGGTAGAAATAGATAAATTAGGTGCTACCGAATTGATAGCATGTATGCCAAAGTAAAACTATGCTCCTTAGGGTTTGCCGCCAGGCCTTTCGTCTGTGGCATTCTGGTGGACTCAAACCGCCAGCCTTCTGTTTAGCAGCCAAGCATGTTAATCATTTGAACTACCCAGAAACTCCTTCCATATAGGTTTATATGTTGTGCCGAGTGAAGTTAGTCAATCGTAATCAGATCAGTATTTTATTAGATCCATACTATAAGGATAAACGCCGAGACAGAGAGCCATCTGCCTTGGTGTTTACCCTTCTAAGGCCATGTAATCTCTTAATCTAATCTCTCAAGCATTGTGGTCGTGTCTCAGTTCTGTGCTTATGATCCATCTATCCCTTATTTATACATCTTAACAAGCCACTTCTTCAGAGGGAACCTCATCTCAGTTGAGCTCAGTTTTTCACTTAGTAGGGAGAGGGGGAGGACCAAATAATTTCTGCCCTACAGCATTGCCCCATCATCACCCCTACATCTACACTGTCCTACAATGATGCTTAGTGAATTTCAGTGGAAATCCAAGACCAGAGGAGAGGAGGATAGGTCCTTTTAGGAAAGTGATTTTAATGTTGGTGGTGGCTAAACAGGAGGGACAACCTGCAATTGGGAAAACTGCTTAGCATTGCTTATGTAGAGATGCCCAATGAGAGAATCTGCCCTGTATTATGTTCCTAATCAAGCCTTTGTAACCAAGTTTTTATTCAGCCCGGAGTGACCCATGCCACATGCTACAGGCAGTCTAGATTTTAGTTTTTGTCTTTTTGAGGTGCACAGCATTCTGAATAGGCCACATGAGAAAGAGCTCAATAGTAGTATTTTAAATTCTATACCACTTACTAAATTAATGATGATAGCATTTTTATTAGAATTATCGAATGCCCCGTGTAGATTATTTATTTGATTTCTCAAGAACTGATCATGCTGTTGCTAAAGTGGATCAGGGACATGTATATGTATAAACCATAGATATACAAATGGATTTCGAGCCCACACTAAATTGCAAGCCATTGCATGATGTGACCCTGCTCAGTACTTGCCCTCATGAAGTGATCACTGAAGATACGAGTGTTAGGGGCAAAGTTTGATGAAGAAATTAGGTGGTACCTGGCTAGCTGAGAGATGAGTGTCTGGAGTTATAAAGGCTTGTTTTCAAACAAGTAGCCATCTAAGTGAGGTATCCACTAAATCCACATGGAAGAAGCACTCCTGCCAGTGCAATCAAAAGATTAACAGTAAAATCCAAACTCAGAAGTGGAGACTGTCTCCGAGCTTAAAATCTGAGTACCTGGCTTGCAAAAGACTGACAATGAAAGCCCCAAATCTATTTACGAAGTCTCCATCGAACTCCCTGCATCCACTGACCAGACAACTGAATGGCCTTCTTCCCAGGCAAAGTGCAAAGGGTAGGGTGACTGCAGATCTAGTCATGTCGAAATGTAACTTCTCAGCACTTGTTTTCCCTTTGTAACTTGCTCCAGTTCTTTTGGATTGAGGTTTTTCTGTCTTACTCAGTTGGAGTCAATGTAGTATAGGTAAATCTCTAGAGGCAGCAACTAGGTTAATAGTTTCTTAGGGTTATGACAAGGGAAATTGGGGGGAAGGGGGAACTAATAATAATGGATACAAACATGATGAAAATATTCCAAAATTGACTATGATGATGAATGCACAACGCTAATATATTTAAACCATTGAATTGTATGATACATGACTCATACAACTGTTTAAAATAAATATGTTGTTGACATATATTACGGTTTAATGAAGTTAAGAAATATTTTACATGAGATCTTTCAGATTCTCAAGGAAGTTCTAGGGAGTCAGGAGAGAATAATTTATAATCCGATGCATTTCCCAAATCAGATCATTTATAATATTTGAGTCTAGTATCTCATTTTCCACGGAGCTGAACGTGTGAAACGTGAACACTGGCCCTGCAAACCAAATCTTGATCGTGGTCTCTGTCGTCTCTCTAGGTTGGCTTCAACTCATTGGCAGTGTCATTGCCTTCCTCGTTTTCACTGACATGATGATCTACTGGATTCACAGAGGCCTGCACCATAGACTCGTCTATAAGGTAGACTAATTTGAAAAGAAACATGAAAGCCTGCCACACGGTGTGACTGTGGATTCTGTTCGCTGTTCCCCTCTGTGTTAGATTCCTAAGTAGCCGTCATCATGACAAGGATGAGACATTGTTCCTGTCCCGTGGTGGGGGTCGTGTTAAAATTTTACTGCTTGAGGATACGGAAGGGGGGGCATTTCATAGGACTGTTTTTCCAAGTTCAAAGCAAATTTTCCTTGAGGCGATTTCCCTCACGTGAGTATGAAAAGTTGGATTGAAAGTTCAGCTGGATACTGTTCGTGTTCCTAATCACGTTCTTTTCTTCTGCAGTCCTTCCACAAGCCTCATCATCTCTGGAAGATCCCCACTCCGTTTGCGAGCCATGCCTTCCACCCTGTGGACGGCTTCCTGCAGGGCCTGCCCTACCACTTGTACCCCTTCCTCTTCCCCCTGCACAAGGTGGCTTATTTAAGCTTGTACATTCTAGTCAATATCTGGACGATTTCCATCCATGATGGAGATTTTCGTGTCCCCCAAATTTTAAGACCGTTCATTAATGGCTCGGCTCATCACACAGACCATCATCTATTCTTTGACTATAACTATGGACAGTATTTTACACTGTGGGATAGAATTGGAGGCTCTTTCAAAAATCCATCGGCTTTTGAAGGGAAGGGACCCCTTACTTATGTGAAGAACATGACAGAAGAAAAATGCAACAACCATCTAGGAAATGGTTACAAAAATGAAAAATTAATCAATGGAAAGTGTACAAAGAATGAGTAGATTATTGCTTAATTATTCTGAATTCTCTTTAATAAGTGAAAATAATCAGCATACAGCCAAGAGTCACAGCAAATAAATGGAGTCCGTGAAAGTCAGCATTAGAGGTACTCTTGAAGGAGGGTCCTAGCGGCAGGTCAGAGAGTGATCTGTGAGCACCAAGATCTAACTTCATGATTCAAATGGGGGACTGCTGGCAGGGACAGTGTGGGTCTTTCTAGCCTCCAGATCTGCCGCTCATATACCTGCAAGGTCAATTTTTTAAAAATACAGCCAAACAATTATTGAGGGGAATAGGCTATATCCTTTTGCCTTAATCCGCCCATATGCATTGAGAAACACCTACTGTGCTTAATAAATACCAAGACTAAGACGCATGACAAAGAAATACTAATGTAAAGATGGTTCCTTTTTTTCTAGCGTGACTAAGGCTTGGGTGTTGGGTGGAGACGGTTACTTGTACTTTGTTCAAGTAGAAGCTTCAATGTGAAAAACAAATTCTGGTGTAGCATATGACCTGATTAATAGCAGGTATCATGATATCATCTTCCTGCACATAGGAATCATGTTCTCTGGAGGCTTTGTCAAATATTTACATTTTACTGATGAATAAATAAAATGGAATTTTTAAAACTATCAATACTACCATGGTTTAATCCAGATATGGGATCACTTAACTGAATATTTTGTTGAGTATTATTTAAAGCCATTATTTAATGAGTATAGAATATGTGAATCAAAATATATTTATTTAGGAAGAGAAATTTGATAACCTGAACAATATACTTGCCACTACTGATTTTTTACATAAAATTGATGCATTGCACTTTTGATAGGTTTCAGAGTTCACAAACAATATTTTTCTATAACAGGAAATAATTGCCAAGTTTAGTAGTTATTGAAGATTAGTTTTGAAATATTTTTCTCCCTCCCCATTTTCTTTGCAAAAGATGTAAGAAATGTGCATTGTAACAAATATATTTGGAAAACATAGTTTACAGAGGCATTCTATAACTTGTTTATGTAAAATCAATGAAAGTGAATAATGACTATTATTAAGCTGTATCAATTAAATATTTTAACAGCAGAATATCTTCTCTATACAAATTTTAAATCAGTTTCAAACCTCAGAAATGATGCGCTCTAATGACATAGTGGTTATGCATTGGGCTGTGAGTTAGTTAATTGTGCCAACCTAGCCAATAATCACATGTGGGGCTAATTGAAAGGCAGAGGGATAAATGGGTGGTGAGCCTCGCCTTTCTAGTTCTCGGGTCTCTTACTTTGTGATGGTCGCACCAGGGTGCAGCTGCCTTAGCAGTTCCCTGCTTCAGCTTGCAAGATTGACTTCCTACAAGACATCCCCAAGGAGAAGCCACATGGACCTATCCCGATGCAGCCCTGGGTGCTGGAGCAGCCGTGCGGAGACCCCTGCTAGTGCTGAGATGCTTATTCGTTCACTGACTCAGCTTTCCTCATGCAGTCGGCATCATTGCCTCTGTTTTGTGAGGTGGAGGACTTTGTGGACTGGTGTTGGGTTAATGGGTTAATGTTGGACTTGTGGGCTTGGGCAGCATTGGGTTGGGATGTTTTCATGATGCACACTTTCTTTACATAAAACTCTTATTCATGAGTTGCTGTGGATTTGTTTCTCTAAAGTACCTAGACTAATACAGGCTGCTAACCACAAGGTTAGCAGTTCAAAAGCACCAGCTGCTTCACTGGAGAGAGATGAGGCTTCTACTCCTCTAAACAATCAGTCATGCAAACCCATAGGAGCAGTTCTTCCCTGCCCTATTGGGCCCCTGTTAGTCGGCATAGACTGGATGGCAGGGAGTGAGTCAGAGCTGTATTAGAATGTCCCCCGATGCTTAGTGTTAAGGAGAAAGAGAGACTCGTATTCTTTTTGTGTTGTTGTTGTTAGGTGCCATCGAGTCAGCTCTGACCCATAGCGACCGTATACACAGCAGAACGAAACACTGCACGTCCCTCTGCCATCCTTTGCCATTGTTCCTGTGCCTGAGCCCATTGATGCAGCCCCCGTGTCCGTCCATCTTGTTGAGAGCCTTCCTCTTATAGGGCATCATCATGCCCTAATCTGGGGACTGGTCCCTCTTGACAACATAGCCAAAGTATGTAAGATGAAGTCTTGCCATCCTTGCCTCTGAGAGCGCTCTGGCTGTACTTCTTCCAACACAGTTAGGTTTTACCCTGTAGCAGTCCTTAGCAGTCTGTGGAACTTTCAATATTTTTCCCCAGCACCACAATTCAAATACATCGATTCTTCTTTGGCCTTTCTTATTCAATGTCCAACTTTCAATGCATATAACGTAATGGAGAATACCATGGCTTGGATCAGGTGCATCTTAGTCCTCAAAGTAACATCCTTGCTCTTCAATACTCTGAAGAGGTCTTATAACACAATATGTCTTTTGATTGTTGCTTCCATGAGCATTGATTGTGGATCTAAGCAAGACAAAAGCCCATGACAACTTCAACCTTTTTTCCATTTATCACAATGTCACCTATTGGTCCGGTTGTGAGGATTTTGATCTTCCTTGCATTGAGTTGTAATCCATAGTGAAAGCTACAAGTATAAAATTTGTTTTTATATTTCAAATTTATTAGATTTGAATGTTTCCTAAGAAGCTGGTCATAAGATTTAATACCTGAGATCTAGAAAAGCTGTTTTGGGTGAATTTGTTGTCATTGGTGATGTTTTCTCTTTTTAAATTGCTTTTATGCTATTTTACTTCCTTGAACCAATGTAGCAATTAATATTTTGTAGCTAGCTGATAAATGCAGCTAAATGTTTCCCAGTAATTCCTTCTCTCCAATATTCCACTTTGCCTGGGGAAAGAAGGAAATGTAGGAGAGAAAGACTTGGTTCCCTATTAATCATGGCATCAAACATGTTGGAATCAACCCCGCGGCACATAACAAGGGCATTTACCCGGCCCTTCGTTCCCTTCTTCCCCGGCCCACTTTACTGGATTATTTGGGGAAAGATGGTTAGCTGGATACCTGAGAGGAAAGGAAACCAGTTTCTTGAAGAGCCAGCCAATTTGCTACATCCCTGGACTTGCTTTTTCCAGGGAATTGACTGGGTGGCCTTGAGCTTGCTTTTGTTTGGTGGGGGCAGGGGTTGGGGTGGGGGTTTCCAAGGACATAAAATGGAGCTCTGGTGGTGCTGTTAGGTAAGCATTTGGCTGTTGACCATGAGATTGGATTTAAGGATATAGAGACATTGCATAGGTGGTGGAGACTAACCGTGCATTGGCCATCTTCGTGTAATTTCATAATTCCACTTGTGGGTGCTAGTCCCATGTAGCTTATAGAGAAAAGAGGGGACATC